AAGCATTTATTTTTCAGAATAAATAACCTATTGATTAGCATAGTGTTTGTTTTAATAATAGCTTTGTTATAAGGAGAGAATGTGTTACAACGGAATTAACACTGAATGGTGAGAGCTAGAGTTCGAAAACCTAGCCTCTGACCCACCCTCTGCCATACAATAGCCATTTAACTTTGGGCAAATCACTTAACCTTTCTCAACAAGGAGTAATTACTATGTACTCTGCTAAGCTCACAGTGTTATTATTAGGCTACAATAGGATAATATACATGAAAAGTGCTTCAAATTGTATAAAGAGCTGTATAAATGGTATTATTGTAATGATGGATGTACCCACCAATTTAAGATAACATTTTCTTTTAAAATGTTAACTTGCAAAAGAAAGAAATTAAAGGGCAACTATACTATAGAAGAATTAATTAAAATAAATCATTACAAAGTCCAGCAAATCAAAATCAATCTAGAGCAATTAAAATATGAATCAACTGTCAAAAATGTGCTTCATATTAGATTTTTCAGGATGACATTTATTACATAAAGCAAGGCAGATATTTGAATCAGGCCACAAAATCATAATCTCAAACTCATTCCACTGAATGCACTGAGAGGGCCTTCACCTATGTAAGGAAATCAGATGCTGCAACAATAAAAAGAGAAAGTGGTTTTGGGCTGGGGGAGAGGAAGTAATGAACAGGAGGAGCACGATGGATTTTGACAGCAGTAAAACTATTTCATACAACACTTAATGGTGAAAACGTGTTATCATGTATTTGTTCAAACCCATAAAATGTACACCAAGAGTGAGCCCTAATGTAAACCAGGAGTTTTGGGTGATTATGATGTGTCAATGTAGGTTCATAAATTATAACAAATGTACCACTGTGATGGCGGATGTTAATAATGGGGGAGGGTATACATGTGTAGAAAAAGGAAATATATGGTAACTGTCTACTTTCTGCTCAATTTTGCTGTGAACCTAAAACTGCTCTAAAAAATGTCAATTTTTTAAAAAATCAGATGCCGCAAAGTTTATCTGGCTCCATTTTATAACCTGATACAAGGCACCATGCCTCACAGTTTCAGAGGTGAACCAGCACATGTAGGAAAGACTAGAGTTGACTCCTGGTTTACAGGAAAACATGTGATTAACCAGGACACAGCAAAATCTGATATATGTAAGAATTCCTAAATCTGTTTCACAGACCTATTGTTTATAAAAAAGGTATGAAGAAGCAGATGGCACAAGTAGGCTGAGACTTATTCATAGCACTGGTGACAAAGTCAAATATGAAGTTTTAGAGTTTGTTAGGGTAGCCATTAAAATTGTTTTCAAGCTTTCTTTAAGTCAACAAATTATCACAATATCCAGACAGACTAAAAAAATCTAGGCAATTTCCCTTTACCTTGCCAAGCCTATTTACAGACCATCAAAGACAAGACATTACAGCAAGAGTCAGTTACTTTTCGGAAATAGTTTACCAACTTTCTAATCCCTATTTTTATGTCTTTATATGGGTGAGAATTTTAATCAAAAAGTATCTGGAAGGCAGATCTATGCAAAAAGGTCACAAAAACAAACCACCAACTGGAGATTCAAGTAAATTAGAAAACTCTCCATTTTAAATGCTAATCTCCTGGAAAGGCTGCCATAATTATCTGTGAGCTCCATCCCAGCAAAGGAAGGGAAGTGAGGCTGAAGAGTGAAAAAGAAACAAGGACAGCAGCAGGAGGGAGGGGGCAGGTGAAGAATGGACACCAGAAATGCAAACAGAGGTAAAAGACACCAAAGATACATTTTGCCAACTATCCACTTGCTACCTACTATCCATTTTCCCTCATATCCAGAGTATTAATAGAGAAAACAAGATTTTGCTGCTACATATTTTGGAGGCACTAGTTTCTTAATGCAAATGTATCCAACAGTATCATATGTAAACCAGAGTAATAGAGGGGAACTGAAGAAACTATAACTTCCTGGTATGTTTCTATTGACTATCGACATAAAATGAGTCGCTGCTTCACACAAGTCTATTAAAAAGAATATTGAACACTTAGCTCCTCTGGGTTTTTGACTCTCTTGACAAGTGGCTGTATGTTAGTCACTAAACTTTTATCAATGTTCTCAATCAATCAAACAATAAATATTCCTTGAGTGCCTAAAAACGAGCTATTTTAGTTTCAACCCTGACTGCATTAGAATCACCTGGGAAGACTTTAAAAAAAAAAAGACTCTTGGCATCTGAGGCTCTGATTTAATTAGTCTGGGGTGGGGCCCAGACACAGGTTTTTTAAAAACACTCCCTTGAGCTTTTAATGGACAGCCAAGGTGGAGATCCACTGGCCTATTTCATCTTATGTATATGTAAGGAACAGCAAAATAATGCAAAAAGCCTTCCCCACTTTCTTTGAAATTTATCAATTTCCCCTTCCTACCAATTTTGTTTTAACCCAGATTATCACCACCTCACACCTAGATCAACAAAATGGCATCCTACCAATTTTTCCTTCTTCCAGTCTCTTCCCAATCCAATAAACCATTATATGGTTGTCTCATCTGAAACACTATCCCACTGAGAGTCATTTTAAGTTATAAGTATCAAGAAAAAACTATTTTCATCAAAGGATATGCAATGTACAAGTATATATGTAAGTATATGTTTTCGTGTATGTCTTTGTATGTACATATGTATAATCTCAAAGATGTTCTATTTTTCTTCAATTCCAAAGTACCTATCTTCATTCATACATAATGGATACTCTTCTCTTTACATACAAAAATATTGCCCCTAAATAGTTCGTGGCTGAATTTTGTCAAAAAATGGCATATCGGTCACTCAGATTTCTCATAAATTTTGAAGTGTTCCCACAAGAAACATACATTCAACTGGAAAAAAAAAGTAAAATTAAGTGGAATTATCTCAAAACGTCCTGTGTTACTGGAGATCCTGATAAAGTTTATGATACATGAATGCTTTACCAAGAACAAACATGGTTCTGGGTTCTGTTAATGCTTGCCTCAGAAAACCAACTGAAGGCTTAAAAGCCAAAGATTATAACCACATGATATTCATATTTATGAAAAATATTATCAAATACAATATAAACAATAATGAGAAGACTGACCAAGTACATGACTTATTCCCTGTCTTTAAGGAGCTATCCATCTTCTCAGGGACAGACACAAACATGAAAAGAAAATAAAGCCAGCACCAGCAAGTAAGCAGTAAAGACAATAAGTACCATGGGAATTCAAAGAAACCCGGAGACTGCTATAGACTAAGGGAGTTGGAGACAGCTTCTTGGAAAAGCTGAGTCTTGGATAGGTCGAGAAAAGAAGGAAATCTAAAGCATGTGGATGATCTTCTACAAAAACGAGAAAGAAATTCATAAAATATATTTGAGGGACAGGGACTTGACCTAGCTGGAACGGAGGGCTCTACATAAGAGCTTTGGGTAAGGTAAGGTTGCAGTGATAAATTGGAGCCAGAAACAGTGAAAGCCCTGAATGCCAAAGTAGGATGCGTCAACTTTGTCCTAGGGAGATACTTTACAGGTTATAAAGAAAAATAAGCAAAATAATATATGCCAATAATGGTGCAGTCTGAAACCACTTTCCTTGAAGCCTTTGAAGAATATACATAGTAATGTAATATCTTGCCAATGTATTCATGAACATGTAAACATATTGTTTAGGAAATCTGTTCAGAGTAAAGGAGTAAATACCCAAGCATGCTTTCAAAAAAAAATCAGTGATCAATTATGCATTCATATTTCTTAGGATAATTCCTAAAAGAATAATTGGGTAGAAATCTTCAATTTTAGGTTTTCTTCCTCCCCACCCTCCTCCAAACACATACCTTGATTTAAAATCCAGAAACTGCAGACACTGAAATAGTGTTATTCTGAAAATAAGAAGCCTTTAATTACTTCTCATTATGGGTGAATTTACTTATTAGTTACTATATTGTTTGCAAATTACTACAGCTATTAAAATAATTTTGTCCATTTCTTTCAGCAAAGCAGATGAAAACAGACATATAAATAACAAATTTAAAGATTATGACAAGCAAAAACCTCTTTCCTAACATTGAAACACATCTAAAATAATCAGCATTGGTTTATAACGCAGAGGGGAAAGAGTGTGTTCATAACAAAAAATGCCATCCACAACAAAGAGTCCCAGAGAATATTTGAAGAAAATGACAATAGGCAATGTCTCATCCAAAACGATAAACCTACAATTCCATAAAGAATGGAGTTAATTATGTTTCTCAGAAATGCCCTTAAAATTTCTGGCTATTTCTGCTATAAAAATTAAGACTCTAACATAACTCCAAACAAGGATTCTTGCCCATGGTAAGGAGACAGGTAAGTGATTGATGATTTAATTTGACTGCAGCAAATACTAATTTAACCACCACTACCTTCTCAACACCAAGAAAATGAGAAATATCAGTCTTCAAGGCATACATGACAAGAAGGCAAGCATATTCTAAGATGATTAAGACACACACAAAATAAGAACACAGAGAACCCGTGGCAATACTGCTGCTGTACTATGAAAAGAGATATACCATTCTTGCAGGCTATGCCTTTAAAGAATATGTCTAGATTTTGATTTTATGCACTCTTTTATTCCACCTCCGGGAAAGATGGGAACATCCAGGAGAGTTGGAAGAAGTGCCTTAAGGAAGATGTCATTACCTCCGTCCCCACCCCTTGCTGGGCAACCTCGCTTTAACAAGTAGTGCTCTTTCTCTCCTCATAGCCCACCCGGTTTCCATACATCCTTCAATCCTCATTCCTTTCCCCCTCCCCTATTCCCTTCTCTGCCCCGGGCATTCAGCACAGGCGGCTCCGACTTTGTCAGTCTCGCCTCCCCCGCGCACCCGCCCAGACCAGCAGAGTCCAACAACGCAGCCACGCAGCCACCCACTCCACCTCCTTGTTCTCAGCCGAGCGTCTCCTCACCGCCGCCCACCCTACCCCAGTCCTGTCACCTGCTTGGGTGGTGTCGGTCAGGTCGTAGCCGCAGCTGGGGAAGTCTCGGAGTTTCCTACCACTGAGACTCAGGATGCCGGAGTTGCCCGCCTCCTCCAGGGCCCGGTCCAGGCTCCTCGCGGTGTGTTGAGGCTGCAGGCTCCCCGGGTTCCACTGCGGCCCGTTGGGGAACGGCTGGCCGAAGAGAGTCAGTACCGGGATGGGCACCACCAGGGTCCCGCCGCCGCCGCTGCCGCCTCCCCCTCCGGCTCCACCACCTCCTCCGCCCGCTCCACCGCCACCGCTACTTCCACCTCCACCACAACCGCCGCCCCCACTGCTACCACCACCTCCCTGACTCGCCGCCATGTTCCTGAGAGAGAGAGAGAATAGCCCCCGACAATACTCGCAGCTTGCGCTGAGAGTGTAGGGGGTTCCTAGGACGCATGCGCAGGCTGGGGGCGGTGTGGCGGGGGCGAGATAGAGGGGAAGGAACCAGGGGGCGGGCTCGGAGGAGGTGTTGGGGAGAGAAGAGACGATGTTGAAATGTATAAAACGATTGATTTAAGAAATGTATGATCAGAGGTAGGATGCTAAATCCCTGTTCCACTGCTTTGGGTACCAACATTTTGCGAACTGACGCCAGCTTAACTATAGGTCACTGGCGATGTGTCCCCAAGTCTCTGAGTTGCTTCACCTTTTTCATTCTGCGAAACAAAGGGAAATGCATTATATAGGGATGAAAGGGATTCGTTTCAAAATATATTGAAACAGCGTTTAGGACTAGCAGCCACCTTACTGAAACGCTTACCGCAAATGCCTCAGGAATCGTTTACCAGTGTTAATACGGAGAGAAATGATGGGGAACATTTGGGGAGGAAAATTGTTAAAGAACTGAGTTTTAAGCATGTGTGAATTTTGCCATAATTTAGAATTCCAAAATAAGAAAAGACTTGAAATGTTTTCAAGAAAGCCTCTCATATCAGTGTGTGTGGGTTTCTGCCTTCCAAAACTTGGAAAAGTTCTCTGCATTCTGTTCTATCATTCTCTGAAGGTGTGCCAAAATCTCCAAAATATCTTGAATTTCTTCCCATTATGTTGGTATAGCTGATGGAAACTCTTTGATCATGAAACAACCTTAAAGTTTATTTTTCAAATACAGGTTTTGGTTTCAGGTGGAATTCTGAAGGTTCAACACTGGAGATATGAAGCTAATCAGTCTTGGATTTTTAAGAGTTCAATCTCAGAACCTAAACCCAACCATTCAGGACACTGCCACCCGGCATTCCCCACTGAGAGTTATTCAAATCTTTTTCACTAATGGCCAGTAAAGTTACCGAATAAAAGTACCACAATGCTTGGGGATATTCAGTTATCATTAATTTGAATATCTTATGCATCTTTTTTACATCTGTTTCATTTTGAGCAATCTGTCAACAATCTCATTTTTTAGCAAAACTTCCAAAAAAGTTTATCTGCCATAGACTTTAATTTGGGGTATATATATATATATATATATATATATATATATATATATATATATATATATGAATTACACTTTGTCTAAATTGTTTTGTGGCCATACAGGGTTAATTAAAATGATTATGTTGCAAGAAATTACATTTGCCATGTGCATGACACACAGAAGGAACAAAACTGAAAATCAGACTACAATGAATTAGCAAGTGAAATCAAATCATTTAAATCCATTGGTGTCAGAAAGGACTGTTGTACCTTATATCTCATCTTCCTTATATCAAAAATCAAATCAAATATTAATTGAGAATTTACAGACTCAAGAGGGGTGAAAAGGGAAACTGAATTCCTAAGAGAAAATATTAGGAAAGGTACTGTTTTAATAATTAGCAAAAAAGAATTTCTGTGATTATTTAAAACAATGTACTAGACTCCGGAAAAATAAGTCCTCATGATCAGGATAGCTGTGAGCTGAAAAAGGCCATATACAACCAAATTTAAAAAGGAAAGTAATCTTTCAAACAATTAAAAAAGATACTCTACATAAGGAAAATGGGAAACTTAATAAACTACGTATACATGAAAATCAGGCAAAATAACACATTTATCAAGACTACCAAGGCCATAAGGAGTGTTAAAAGATAAACTGAGGCATATTTAAAATGTTAAGAGTTTAATTGAACATTTGTCTATTCAAATTGGACACTGCTAAACCAGAGGTGGTTATGAGCTTTCTGCCAACAGTAACCAAGGGAAAGACATATAGAGAAAGTAAAGAAGCAATGAAAGTAAATTACTTGATTGGCTATAAGTTAAAGCATAGTTGGCTATTTATGATTGGTTGTCCTTAGCATTTTGATTTCATAACCTTGAGGCATTTATTACAGGCTTAGATTTTGGTTTGCTTATCTACACCATCACAGCATTAGAACCACCTCAGTCTAATGACCTCTTTGTTTCATCACTTTAACAGGAGGTAAGATTTAGAAGAAAGAGCATGAAATTTAAAAATTTGTTCCAAACCCTTAATTGCCTTTGTAGTCCTCCGAAAGTGGCTTTATTTTACTTTTTTAATTAAAGTATATTGGGGTGACAATGATTAGTAAAGTTACATAGGTTTTAAGTGTACAATTCTATAATACATCATCTCTATATAACATTGTGTGTTCACCACCCAGAGTCAGATCTCCTTCCATCACCATATATTTGATCCCATTCACCCACATCTACCAACCCCCCACCCCCTTACTCTCTGGTAACCACTAAATTATTGTCTGTGTCTGAGTTTTTGTTTCTTTATTTGTTTGTCTTGTTCCTTTGTTGCTTTCAGTATTGTACACCACATATCAGTGAAATCATACAGTTCTCGACTTTTCTGTCTCACTTATTTTACTTAGCATGATAATCTCAAGATCCATCCATGTTCTCGCAAATGACACTATTTCATCTTTTCTTATGGCAGAATAGTACTCCATTGTGTATATGTACCACAACTTCTTTATATGTACAAGTATCTATCAAAGGACCCTTGTTGTTTCCATGTATTGGCCACCATAAATAAAGCTGCAGTGAACATTAGAGCACATGTATCTTTACGGATAAATATTTTCAGATTTTTACCCAGGATACCCAGGAAAGGGATTTCTGGGACATACGGTAATTCCATTCTTAATTTTTTGAGGAATCTCCATGCTGCCTTCCATAGCAGCTGCATCAATCTGCATTTCCACTAACCATGTATGAGGGTTCCTTTCTTCCACAGCCTCTCCAAAACTTGTTGTTTGTCTTGTTGGTTATAGCCATTGTAACAGGCGTGAGGTGATATCTCACTGTGGTTTTTATTTGCATTTCCCTGATGATTAGTGATGTTGAGCATCTTTTCATATGTCTGTTGGCCATCCGTATGTCCTCTTTGGAGAAATGTCTATTCAGGTCCTCTGGCCATCTTTTAATTGAATTGTTTGTTTTTGTTGTTGTTGAGTTGTATGAGTTCCTTATATTTTTCGACATTTGCCCCTTATCGGAGGTGTTGTTTGCAAATATCTTTACCATTCATTTGGTTGCCTTATCATTTTGTTGATGGTTTCTTTGGCTGTGCAGAAGCTTTTTAATTTAATATAGTCCCATTTATTCATTTTAGCTTTCACTTCCCTGCCTTTGAAGTCACATTCATAAAATACTCTTTGAACCCAAGGTCCATAAGTTTAGTACCTATGTTTTCTTCTATGCTGTTTATTGCTTCAGGTCTTATGTTTAGGTCTTTGACCCATTTTGAGTTAATTTTGGTACACAGTGACAGATAGCAATCTAGTTTCATTCTTTTGCATGTGGCTTTCCAATTCTCCCAGCACCATTTATTGATGAGGCTGTCTTTTCTCCATGTAAGTTTTTGGCTCCTTTGTTAAAAATTGTCTGTCCATATATATGTGGGTTTATTTGTGGGTTTTCAATTCTATTCCATTGGTTTGTGTGTCTGTTTTTCTGGCAATACCATACTCTTTTGTTGCCCTGTAGTATAAACTGAAGTCAGGGAGTGTGATACCTCCAGCATTATTCTTTTTTCTTAGGATTGCTTTGGCTATTCAGAGTCTTATGTGGTTCTACACAAATCTGATGATTTTTTTGTTCTATTTCTTTTAAAAGTGTGGTATAGTTTTCAGTGTATAGGTCTTTCACATCCTTGGTTAAATTTATTCCTAGGTATTTTATTCTTCTTGTTGCAATTTCAAAAAGAATTGTTTTTTAATTTCTTTTCTGAGGTTTCATTATTAGTATATAAGAATGCAATGGACTTTTGTACATTGATTTTGTAGCTGGCAACTTTACTGTACAGTAAGTCCCCAACTTATGAATGAGTTTCGTTCCAGGAGAACGTTCATAAGTCAGATTTGTTCCTAAGTCCTACAATGTGAGTCTTATACACCTTTGACACAAATATACAATGTAAAGCATAAGAAAAGTAAACACACACACACACACAAAATGTGCCAATGGTTGGACGATTCATGTTATAAGAACGAGTGACATCTACCATTTTTTCGCATCGGACCAGTCTCTCAATTATTTTCACTTTTATTTCCATGGATACTGCTTTGTGCTTCGTAGCATTCCCCTCCACATCACCACTGCTTTTCCTCTTGCTTCCGGACATCCTGGGCTCTGATTGAGCACTGTACTACTGTACACTATCGTACTGTACAGTATGCACACAGCAGCACAACTGTGACAATGTCCAGCAGACATGTGAGCTACTTCCACGATTTGTTCGCATCTACGAATGTTCTTAATGCAAGTTCTGTTCGTATCTGTGAAATTTCTCAACTCAAATGTTCGTAAGTCGGGGACTTACTGTGTTTATTTATGATTTCTAATAGCGTTCTTGGTGGAGTCTTTAGGGTTTCCTATGTATAACATCACGTCATCTGCAAAAAGTGACAATTAAATCCTTTGTTCCCAATTTGGATGCCTTCTATTCCTTTCTCTTGCCTGATTGCTCTGGCTAGGACTTCCAATACTATGTTGAAAAACAGTGGTGATAAGGGAGAGCCCTGTCTTGTTCCTGAACGTAGAGTAAAGGGCTTCAGTTTTTCACTGTCAATTATGATATTCGCTGAGGCTTTGTCATATGTGGCCTTTATTATGTTAAGGTATGGAAACGTGACTTTAAATCTCAGTTTCCTCATAAGTAACACTAGAAAATAATAATAATAATAATAATAATAATAATAATTGAGTACTATTTACCAAGAACTAATCTAACTGCTTTACATTCATGTTTTTACTCATTCAATCCTCATAACAACCCTGTGAAATAAATGCTATTATTATTCTATTTTATGGATGAGGAAAACTAGTATATACTTCATATAAGATTGTTGTAACAATAAATAAGA